ATGGGACCTGGGGCGAGGGGGAGTAGTGCCTGAGAGGACTAGGGCAGGGAGTATTGAGGCTCATGGAAAAGCAAAGAGGGAAGCGCCGGGACCGGTTTAGCTCAATGGATAGAGTGTCGGCTTGGGAACTGAAGGGACCCGGGTTCGATTCCAGTCAAGGGCATGTACCTTGGTTGCGGGCATATCCCCGGTAGGGGGTGTGCAAGAGGCAGCTGATCGATGACTCTCCCTCATCGATGTTTCTAACTCTCTATCTCTCTCCCTTCCTCTCTGTACAAAAATCAATAAAATATATTAAAAAAGAAAAGCAAAGAGGGAAGCGATCACTATTTGCGTTTTGACATCCATGAGAGGGCCACAAAGATGCTGAGTTACCAGAGAATGGATATTTAGGGAAGACACGGGTGTGGGGTGGAGGGTGGGGGTGGGGAGAGGGGCAAGAAGGAAAGGAAGAGGTAGAAGGAAGCTGCATATGAGTCAGCTGTTTATTACTCTTCATCCTGGCAATAAGCTGACATTTTTTTTTTTTTTGCCTCAATTTGTATTTACATTTGGCACGCCAGTCAGCAGTGTACAGAGAGCTTTGGAAATTTATGCAAAATGCTCAAAATGATAGTTAATTTGATAATCATTATAATGCCCAGGAATGGCATTTAAAACCCCCCATATGAGAGGACCATGGCAATCCAAACCTGTGTTGTTCAAGGGGCATCTGTACTCTTTGGACACCGTTTCCTTTTACCCTCTCATGGTTTATTCACGTCTTTTTTCACTCCCATATTTTCAGTGTTTTCCTCCTCACTGGGTCAAATCAGCATCTTTTTTTTCAATGTAAAAAAAGACAGTTTTTTAGAGTGTTTTATCAATAGATTTACAATAAAATTGAGAGCAATGTGCAGACATTTCTCATACACCCTCTGACCCCACACATGCAGTCTACCATTATCAACATCACTCAACAGAGGTACATTTGTTTACCAAAGATGCACTGCTACATCATAGTCACTCAAAGTCCATAGCTTACCTCGGGTTCACTCTTGGTGTTGTACACTGTATGAGTTTGGATAAAAGTATAATGACGTATATCTGTAATTATAATATCAGACAGAATATCTTTACTGCCTTAAAATTCTTTGTGCTCTGCCTATTCATTTTCTCTCCCCACCCCCAATCATGGGAACCACTGATTTTTAAAAATTATCTCTATCGTTTTGCCTTTTCCAGAATGTCATATGGTTGGAATCATACAATATGTAGCCTCTTCAGATTTGTTTCTTTCACTTAGTGATATGCATTTGAGGCTCTTTCATGTTTTCTTATCATGTGATAGTTCACTTCTTTTTATATAACTTGTATTTTTTTAATTTTTAAAATATATCTTTATTGTTGGAAGTATTACAGATGTATTACAGATGTTCCCTTCACTCCTCCCCCCATTGAACTGACAAAATAGATGGAGAGACCTGGAAGCATATAACAGACTGAGGATTCTCAAAGGGAAGGGGGGAGGGAAGAGATCAACCAAAGAATTTATATGCATATTTATTTCTTAATGTTTTTTTTTAAATCCTCACACAAAGATATTGATTTTTAGAGAGAGAGGAAGGAAAGAAAAAAAAATAAAGAGACAGACACCACGCAAAAGAGAAACGTGGAATGGTTGCCTCCCTAACACACCTGACTGGAGATCAAACCCACAACCTGGGTATGTCCCCTAGCCAGGAATTGAACCCGAAACCATGTTCCAACCAACTGGGCCATGGAGCCATTTATTTTTAGTACTGAATAATACTCCATTGTGAGGCTATTCCTCAGTTTATTCATTCAATACCCACTGCAGGACATCTTGGTTCTTCCAAATTTCGGCAATTATAAATAAAAGTTGCTATAAACATCTATATGCAGGTTCTGTGTGGGCAGAAATTTTTCATTCCTTTAGGTAAATACCAAGGAACACGATTGCTGCATCCTATAGTAAGAGTTTAGTTTTGTAAGAAATTGTCAAACTGTCTTCCAAAGTGAATATACCATTTGTATCCTCATTAACTTTACATTCTCGCCAGCATTTGGTGCTGCCAGTGTCGTGGATTCTAGTAGGTGTATTGTGGTATCTCATTGTTGTTTCAGTTTGCATTTTTCTGATGACGTGATGTGAAGCATCTTTGCATAGGCTTATTTTCCATCTGTATGTCTTCTTTGGTGAGGTGTCTTTGGTCCATTTTAAAATCAGATTTTTTATTTTATTTCTATTGTTGAGTTTCCCATTGCCATTTGGTCAAATCTCTCATATGGTCAACAACCACAAAGCAGCAGCAGCAGCAGCAGCACTAACAAACATGCATACAACCCAAACTCAAAACCCACAGGCCCCTCTCTGAACCCTACAACCACTCCTCTGTCTTTGCTTTCTCTCCAACTCGCTGTCTTCTCTTCTCATGCCCTCTTCATCCCACTGATGTATGGCTTCTGTCTCCAGCCCATTCTCTTTCCCAGTCTTAGAAAATGGCAGCAGGATCCACTTAGTTGTCCCCACTTGAAATCTGGGAATTAATCTGATCTCCCCACTTTCATCACCTCTCCACATACAAATTAATCACCCATTTCCATTAATTTGATCACTGAACCCCTCTCAAGTCAATCCAGTCACTTCTTCCCATCCTGATTGCCCTCTCTAGTTTGGGAAGATATGCTTTTCTCTTTTTGTGAAGGTGATGGACTGGATGATGTGAGTTGCTGCATGACGAGGTCATAAAGACTAAGGGATGCTGGTAGCTGCACAAGCGAAAGATACAGTCCCTGGAGACTTCCTTTTTGTTTTAACACCATCCTTGTGTGGGTTTTCTGTTTGAAATGTTCGCTTATGTATCTCTCTGTTGTTCCCTCCTATTTCCCTAGCATTTTCCTCAATGTGTTAGGGACACCTCTAGGAGTTCTGAGCTCATGACTGTCACTTAGCACTGTGGTGAGGTCCTGGCTCTGACCCTCACTAGCTGTAAGAGCTGGAACTATGGACTGCTTTGACTTTTATTTCCTTATCTGTAAAACCAGAGGCCAGGTGCACAGAATTTGTGCACGGGGGGAGTCCCCTCAGCCCAGCCTCCACCCTCTCCACTTGGGGACTCCTTGGGGGATGTTCGACTGCCGGTTTAGGGGCATGGCTGCTGGTGAAGCCAGGAGAGAAAGAGAGAGGCAACATCTGATCAGTAGCTGCCATGGAGGCTGAGGATCAGACCCTGCCTATCTCTGTGCAGGCCTCTCTCTGGACCTGATCTACGGTCCCTTTGGCAGTCAGTGCTGGGTCGCTGCACTGGCACCAGTGCATCAGTGTTCAGTCGAGCCTTGGTGGTAACGGACCCTGGGTCTTCATATATATAGATAGGTGGTTTTCCCCAGCACATTGCATCGCCATCCTGTGTGCACAATCACCTAGGAGATTTTAAAACTCCCAGCACCCAGGCTTTGCCCTGACAGAACAGTGCCATCAGAAGAATCCTGATGCTCAGGCCTCAGGACTATTTAAAGCTACCTCTAATGATCCCTGTGTGCAGACGAGATTGAGAATCAGTGACTTAGTAATTTTAAAGGGTCTTTACTCTTCTGTCATTTCATGTTTTTATCATGTCCCAATCCCAAGTTGAGATTTCCCTTTTAATGTTTTTACCAAGTTGGGAAGAAATAGCTGTGAAGTTCCCCCCTCCCTTTTCCATCTGCTATTTGTTCTTATTTACATACGATGGAACCCAGCCCACTGATTTACAGCTCTGGTTCCCTTACAACTGTTATTGAACTGAAAACATAGCTGAAAACTTATTAAACAGAAAAAATTGTTTTGAGCTTTGTGCTGACAATTTATTATAGAACCAGGGGAATATCTAAACTTTTTCCCTTCTAGAATTAATTCTAAAAATGGATTTACAACCCCATAATATCAAATGAAAAATTTAATTCTGGTGCTAAACCCAGTATGTATTCTTTCTTGAGTCTCCCATTGAGAAAATTGGAGCATCTCAGAAGGAGAATGGGATTTTGAGAAGTTTACATCCATAAACAGGCAGGGCCTCTGAAGTTAAGTGTTAGCATCTCCCTCCCCCAGCCCCCTCTGCTGATGCATAGTCACACACAGGAAGAAAAGCCAGGGCAAACACATCATGAACATGGGTGTGGTCTCACGGATGAAACACTTTGGGACAGGTATCTCAGTAGCATCCATCCCTTAAACCTACCAGTTGAGATTTGAAATAACATAAGATCATTTTTTGAAGCTGAAAGGCAGTAGAGAGGAGAGTAGGAAGACAACAGAGAAGAGCCAAACATTTGGTTTAACCACTGGCACTAAATTTGGAAAGAACTGGGGTTCTGACATAAGTGTAATTTATATTAGAGGTGTATACTTTGGGCTGCTAGTTCTCCCTGCCTGCTTCTTTGTTAACACTGTCTCTTTCAACTGTTCACTCATTTTATTCTATAACACCGGTCTGAAATATACAGCCCAGGCCTTTGCTTCTCTCTCTCAAACCCCAACTATTGAACTTAGTTGCTACCTTGATAAAGATGGGCTAATAATTGTTTTCATGGAAAGAAATGGTTAATTATCTCTAGCAGTGGGGGAAAAATATTTTTTTCTAGGAAAGATAATGTTGCTAGAGCATAGAGTCAAGCTGAAAGGAGCATCTTTCCCACCATGTTTAGCATTCAACTTTCTCATGGCCTAGAACCGTGGTCAGCAAACTGCGGCTCACGAGCCACATGCGTCTCTTTGGCCCCTTGAGTGTGGCTCTTCCACAAAAATACCAAGGCCTGGCAAGTCTATTTTGAAGAAGTGGCATTAGAAAAAGTTTAAGTTTAAAAAAGTTGGCTCTCAAAAGAAATTTCAATCGTTGTACTGTTGATATTTGGCTCTGTTGACTAATGAGTTTGCCGACCACTGGCCTAGAAAACATGGTCTGAAGCTTCTTGATTTTTTATCTGCACCTTCAGGTATTTTTTTTTTTTTTTTGTAGATGGAAGAATTGATTGAGGGTGTTCGCTGGGCCTTTATTGACATGCTGGAGAAGGAAAATGAGTGGATGGACGCAGGAACCAAAAAGAAAGCCAAAGAAAAGGTAAGGATTCCAGTTTATGAAGGAAAATAAAAAGGAAACCAAACCCTGACTCTTGGTTTAAGGGATTTTCATGCTCAACATTATGTAGTTGATTTTTATATTGACTGAGCTGTTGACTCCGAATGACCCTAAAGTTGGGTGTCTCTTTTGGGATGAATACATAGATCTCATCACCAGCAGGTAAGAGAAAATAAGATGACTTTTTCTTTTTTTGAACTACATTTTTAAACACCTTGTAATTCAGCCCTTCTTTCTCTCCTCCTAATTACCGTCTGCAAGAGACACATGGCTTGCTGCCCAGCGAATTTTTGCCATAAACCATCATTGGCTGTGGCAGAATGCAGAGCAGTGGGGAGCCTGAGGGAGCAGTTGGCAGAAGAGCCCTCAAGGCACAAAAGAGAGAAATCCATATTGGCCATGTGTCCTTCTGTTCGGGCATGATGTGTGCTAATGTCCTCAGGCGAATCCTTTCCTGTAACCTAGCAGAGTTACTTTCTAACCCATCCTTTTGCACAAATGATCCTCCTCACATGCACGCAAACTGTAGACTAGTGGTTGACCATTGTGGAGGAATAGAAAAAAATATTTCCCAATAGGAGTGGACACTTGCTAGGCCTTGTAAAAGTTTCTGGTACTGTGCAACAAGATAAGGGAAGAAATGAGAAAAGTATTAGCAACCATGCTTTTGAAAATAAAGGGTGGGACCCACCTTGAATTCTAGGTATTCTGATGGAGCTGGATGGAACTCAAGTGGGTAGGCAATACATGCTACCTTCTTAACAGATGCTGCTGTGCAGCTGGGAAACTGAGATTAGCAGCATCTTTTCTTTAGAGGGGTATTTTTGAGACTTTTCTGATGATAGCAATCACCTGGGGTATCTGGAATCTCTATATTATGCAAGGGGAGAGTCTATAGCTTTCTGAGCCCCTCCCCAACAAGATCTGACTTAGTGAATGGAGGGTGCAGTCAGAACATTTGTGCTAATCAGTCAGCCCGGTGATTCTTTTTTTAATATATTTTATTGATTTTTTACAGAGAGGAAGGGAGAGATATAGAGAGCTAGAAACGACCAGCTGCCTCTTGCACACCCCCTACTGGGGATGTGCCCGCAACCCAGGCACATGCCCCTGAGCGGAATCGAACCCAGGACCCCTCAGTCCGCAGACCGATGCTCTACCACTGAGCCAAACCGGTTTTGGCCAGCCTGGTGATTCTTATCACTAGGCAGGCCCAGGGAATACCGCTTAGAGTCATATTGAGGCACGCTGTGCACATATTTTTGCCGTGTGGTCAAGAAACAAAGAGGGAGAGGACTCTTAGAGCAGTGAAACTACTCTGTATGATACTGTAATGGTAAACACATGTCATGATCCATTTGTCCACACTCATAGAATGTACAACATTCTGTGAATCCCAGTGTAACCTATGGCCTCTGGGTGATGATGATGTGTCAGTGTGGGTTCAGTGAGGGTAAGAAATGTACCCCTCTGGTGCAGATGTTGTTAACGGGGCAGCTATGCAGGTGTGAGGGCAGAGGCTGTGTGGGAAATCTGCGAACTTTCTATTCAATTTTGCTGTGAACGTAAGTCTGCTCTAAAAAACTAAAAGTCCATTAAAAAAGGGCAGCATTCTGGGAAAGCTTAGCCTTGCTGAAATGAGAATATGCAGAGGTTTAGCAAGGATATTTCCTAGAGCTCAAATGCTCCTGAGCTGGATAAACATTGCCACAGATATTTTTGTCAATAGACAGGAAAAGGCTGTTCAGTGTTTACAGTGAAGAAAGAATTGGACAGCAGGGGTTGGGGGTGTTGGAGGAAGACAAAGGGCAAGTTTGGTTTTTTCCCACCTTCAGAATCTGTCAAAGCTGTCTTAAGCCCTGTAAGGCGCAAGCTGATGAAGACAGGAGCATGCAGGCTGTGAGGAGAAGCTTTCCAGATGGTAGATGCAACTTTCAGCACCAACACACTGTGTGTTTTTTAAGGCTTCATTTATTTGTAGGGATAGCTTGTGCTATCTGGAATAGGATGTTTTTGTTTTTTTCTACTGGGTAGATGACAGCTCAGTGCATTGCGGGCTCTTGATTCGAGCCAGGCCCCTTTTGGACTAAGGGCCACCAGTGTGGAGGATGGGTAGTGTGGTGAGGGGCGTGTGCCTATTATGAATGGATGGGTACTAGGTGAATGTTCTGGGTTCTGCAGTCAGTTCTTTGGGAAGTACGGATAGTGATTGCCGCACAGAGATCTTCTGATTGCATACGGGAGTGGATGCCTTACCTTTAGGCCTTATAGGCAGATGATAGGCAGATGGCCAATTGGTTCTCTAAGGGGGATTATTCCCAATCTTAATATTAGGCATGTTCCTGATGGCCCCCCTGAGTTGCTCTTCACTCTTCAGTTTTTCTTCTAAAGGCACAGTAAGTCCCCAATTAAGGTCATCAGTTGGTGCTACAGCTTTAAATGATATGATATATAATGAAACCAGCTTTACTATAGGTTAATTGATATCAATAAGAGTTAAGTTCCTATGGTATCTCATCAATGTTATAACAAAACGATGGCGAGTGAGACAATGTTATCTGAGGACCTGTTGTATTCTTTGAACACTCCAGGCTGTCTTTGAGCTGAGTTCAACCTGGCAGGAGTGCAGATTTCAAAGGCAGTTGTTCTACTGAATCTCATCCGGTTCCCTGAGTATAGCTGTATTTCAGAGTTCAGAGAAGCTCCTTTAATGAAAGGCAAGAAAGAGGGAATGTGGTCCAAGAATTTGCAACAGTCCTCAAAGGCAGGTCAGGCCCTGGACCCCAGGAGATGGAGATTTATTTTCTCCGAATTCAATGAACATGCAGTTCTAGAAACGACCTCTGGGTGGAGCTCGTAGTACTCACAAAGGCAGCATTTAGTTGAAGGCTTTTCTGCAGCTTTTCTGCCCTGGGGTTGTTTTTGAAAAATTCTTTTTTTCCTTGCCCTTTTTCTCTGCTGTCCTCCATTTGATTGCCTTTTAATAGTCAACAAGCAAGGAGAGGCTCAACCTAATAATTCCTTGAATCTTAGAAGGAACTCTCTGACAATCTCAGGGCTTTGTCTTTCTGATACTAAGTAGCCCCTGCATTAGGACAGGATTTGCCTCCATTGGAAGGGGAGGTGAAAAATTCTCCTGCTCTTCCTGGTATGACTTGGCACTGTTCTTTAGGCATGTATTGTATGCAGTATATCACCCAAGTGGAAGATTTCTCATCAATTATGGTGCCCACACGGACCAATGCTGAGTTACTTGGCAACCCATTGGGAAAATGTGGAAAATGTTCCGAATTGCAAGGGGAGAAGCTTTTCTTTCCTTTGCTGTTCAGCTCTGGCCTGCAGCTAATTACAGTATCTCCTAAAGCACATGTGTCAAACACAAGGCCCGCGGGCCAAATCCGTCCCGCCAGGCCTTGCAATGTGGCCCACACCGCGCTGTCATCACTGCACTCCGCTGCGTTTCCATCACAATGACAGTTTATGACTGTTCAGTAAACCATTCGGCCCACGATTTAGGCTGGATTTTAGATTTTGGCCCCTTCTCTGATTGAGTTCGACACCCCTATCCTAAAGGGTTGACCTCAGCATTCCCTAGTGACTGGCGCCCTGAATGGGGAGTCCAGATACCGGCAGTGGTCTGAGGCCTAACACCTTGGCTTCTGTGGCAGTGACCGAGGTCTCAAAATGGAATTGTGGAGATGTGGCTTTGTCATGTTTCACAAAGTTTCCACGCTGATTTCTCTCCATTCTATTTTCAGTGTAGTCATTAATTTCCATGTGCAAATTGTCTTTGAATGGCTTGTTTATTGCAATATCAAGAGTTTGGAGATAGGCCTTATTTTTGGGGGGATGCCTTCTATTTCACTCAGAAGGAAACCTGTAAGTAGGTCTTATTTTCGGAGGATGTTTTATTTTCGGGGAAACACGGTACATGAGTGAGATCATGTGATACAAGAAATGCACTTATAAGAACCATGAGACAAGCCATAATGGTTATGCTGGGAGGCATATGAATCAGTCTGTAGTGAGTTCCTTTCTTGGCCAACCGTTCTTTTGAGTCCCAATTTCTATGTCAAACAGTTCCTTGTGTGTACATGTCAGCCATGGTATTTCAGTTCTGGTTGGTGGACAAATGGTGGTGCTGCAGGTCTGACCCTCTCTGGTTTGGTCCTGGGAAACCTGCAGCGACACACAGCTGCTGACTGCTGGTATGGCGAGGCATCGTCAGCGTCTTCCATCTCTGGACTGCAACTGAAAATTTATGTCTTGCAAATTGGAGGAGAGCAGGGAACTTCTCCTGTAGCTGTTGTTTCTGTTACCTCCAGTTCAAAATAATTTTTATGTTTAAGAGACATATTTTGTGGTGACATTCTGGTTTCCTTCTTTAAGCTCTGCCTGTCCCTAGATTTTAGATCTCCCCCAAGTATCCAGTCTGTACCAACCGTGTTGGGCCCACACCCCAAACCCAGTGGTTTTCAGGTACTTCTAAACCAGCAGCAGTGGCCTCACCTGGGAGCTTGTTAGAGATGCAAATTCTTGGGCCTCTCTCTAGGCCTGCTGAACTATGGGAGTGGGAGCCAGTGACCTGCATTTTAACAAGCCCTCTGCGTGATTCTGATGCACGCTCAGGTTTGAGGCCCACTGCCCTGTCTGACTTCAACTGCCAGCATCTGCATTTTGCCTGAGAGCTTTCTCTTCCTGCTGGAGTCTGTTATGCCACTCACACAAAAGGCCCAGGAGTCTGGGGAATGAGCACACCCAAAGATTGATGGGGCTTGTCATGTATGTGCCCCGGCACCCTCCTCCCTCTAGTGTGTGTCCTGCGCAGGCTCCCGGAGCTCCTTCAGTGAGGTAAACCCCAGCTGCTCACACTGACAGCTGGCTCACACAGATACCCAGCCTCTTTCCTCTCCTCTCACTCCGCCAGGCCCCTGCCGGTGTTTGATGTTTCTTCTCCCTCCCAGATGAACTGCTTGCACGTG